GTGTGTGTGTGTGTGTGTGTGTGTGTGTGTGTGTGTGTGTGTGTGTGCGCGCACGTATGTGAGAGAGAGAAACTTTCTTCCTCACCTAGCTACTCCTTTGCTCAAGCTATGCTCTGTGCTCTGTGCTCTCTGCTAAGCGTGACCTGCCCACCCTCCATACTTCACCTGCCCTCAAGGTGGGTGGGCCTGACCTCTTTCCTGGGCTCCTGCAGCGCTTAGAGAGGGCTTGAGTGGGACCTGGGGCTGGCTCTTCCAGATGGAGCTCCCGGTCCTCTTCCCCTCCTCCCTCTTTGAACCTACCTAACTACTTTAAAAAAAAAAAATTGCTTGTCAAGTCAATTCTGACTCACGGTGACCCCATGTGTGTCATCTCCATAGGGTTTTCAATGGCTGATTTTTGGCAGTAGATTTCCAGGCCTTTCTCCTGAGGGACCTCTGGGTAGACTCAAACCGCCAACCTTTCTTTCGGTTAGAGAGGAGCGATTAACTGTTTGCACCACCCAGGTTCTGCAAGTGAGAGTTAATTAGGCTCATGATGGTTATGCCCATTTTCCAGAGAAGGAAATCAAAACTAGAAGGGAGATTACTGAATTAGCATCATGGTGACCTCGTGTGGACATTCCACCCTTTCCCGGGTGATCGTTGGGCCCTCCCACCCACACCAGCCCACAAGTCTCCTCCTGTGCTCTCCACAGAGCCTACGGACGCACAGCAGGAGCTCAATACTGACTTTAGGACAGACAGATGGCTAGATGCAGGAGGGGTGCAGGGGCTGGGGGCAGGATGAGTCAGTGGGCAGATGGTCAAGAGGGAGAGCATGACCCTGGGATGGGAGTGATATTCCAGAGCCCTCATCCCGCCCATCTCCCCAGGTGTGCCCCCAGCCGCAGCTGCTAAAGCAGCCAAATATGGTGAGTTGCTCCCTGCTGCCCTCCCCACCAGGCCTGACTGCTGCCTCCCCTTCCACGGACCTCCCCACCCTGGCTCAGGCCTCAGTCCTGCTCACGTGCCCTGTTCAGCGTGTCCCTGACCCCAGAGCCCAGAGAGGACCCTCAGGGCCCTGTCCTGACCCTCATCTGCCCTCTTCTCAGGTGCTGCTGGCCTTGGGGGTGTCCTAGGAGCCGCCAGGCCTTTCCCAGTTGGAGGTAGGAGCCATCTCAGCTCTGGGCTCCTGGGGCCTGCGTCTAGCAGGAAGACATGAAAGAGGGGAGGGTACTTCAGGAGAGGGAACGTCCAGGGCCAGGGTGAAGGGGCCGGTCTTGGGGCGGGCAAGCACCAGCGGCCTCCAACACCAGGCTGAGACACCACTGCCAGGACACTAGGCAGTGGGGGGCTTGTTGAGAGAGCCACTCAGGCTGCAGGCTGGGTGAAGGAGGCGGTCCGTCTGGGCAGAGGGGCTGGAGGAAGCTAGTGCTGATGCAGGTGAGAGGGAGTGAGCTGGAATGGAGCCATTCCCTGCCAACCCCAACTCTCTTCTGCAGAAGTTGCAGCAAGACCTGGCTTTGGACTATCCCCCATTTACCCAGGTATGCCTGGGCTCTGCATCCTGGGCCCCTGTCCTGAAGCTCTGGCCAGGCCCTTCCTCCTCCCCTGCTTTGTTTCCTACCAAGACGGCCTGAGCCAGTCCCCAGGGGTGGACTCTATGGCCTCAGATCACACAGAGTCTGAGCAAACACAAGAGCCCCTTCCTTTCCTTCCCTTACAAGGACAGGGAGCATAGCTTTTCCAGAATACCTTTGATGCCTCTCAGGGCTCCTGGGAGGATAGGTAGAGTCCCCACCGTACTCCAGAGGGAACAAGCAGAGGTTCAGAGAGTGCTAGGGGCCTGCCCAAGGTCACACAGCTAGCCCAGGCAGAGCTAGGGCTCCTGAAACCCAAGACCAGTGCTTGGCCCCCTTAAACCCCTCATCCCATGCCAGTCTCGGGGCTCAGTCTTGCTCGCAGTGCCCCTGAGGGCTGTCCCCAAGGGTTGGGGACTCCACAGACTTGGGCACACCCACAGCCCCTGTCCCTACCTTGTAGGTGGTAGAGCAGGGAGCCTGGGAGTTGGCGGTGAGTCTGCCTGGACGGACCCCTTTCAAGCAGAGCCAGGGACCTAAGCTTCCTTCCATGGGGTAGGGGTAGAGTCCTGGTGAGGCCCCGGGCTGGTATTCTCTGGGGCAATGGCTGGAGACAGCCCCCAAGGGAATTGCAGCCCTGGGAGGTGGGACAGAGATTCAAGGGTCCCGATTCCTTGGGCTCTCAGTGTGGCACTTGACTGGACACTGGGGACCTAGGGTGTGTGAGAGGGGAGGTTGTGAGGCTGAGGCCTAGG